GGTGTTCTTGCGCCGCTCCGAATCGATCAGAATTTGCAAGCGGCTCATGTGTTATCTGAAATAGGTGGCGGATGGGGTGGGATTCGAACCCACGAGGGACTCGCGCCCCTGCCGGTTTTCAAGACCGGTGCCTTCAACCGCTCGGCCACCCATCCGCACGGCGATATCATCAGCCCGCTCGCCCGCATTCAAGGCGGAAACGCTCGTCAACGGCTTTTTGACTAAGGACCGCCCTTCTATGCTATAGGGCGCCCCACGCCGCCCCGCATCGGGGCGGCTCACCAGTGAAGGGGCGCGGGAGGCGCGCGGGCGTGGCGGAATTGGTAGACGCGCGTGGCTTAGGACCACGTGGCTAAGGCCGTGGGGGTTCGAATCCCTTCGCCCGCACCATCGCCGACGCAGCCCGGCCCAACCGGCGCGTGCCGGACATACGGAGTGACGACATGAGCGCTAGACCATGCAGGTGACGGAGACCCTCGCGGAAGGACTGAGGCGCGAGCTCAAGGTAACGGTGCCCGCCGCCGACCTCGAAGCCGATATCGAGGGGCGGCTCGACGAGTTGCGCAAGACCGTGACCATGAAGGGCTTCCGGCGCGGCAAGGTGCCGCTCTCGATCGTGCGCCGTCAATACCAGCCGCGCGTGCTGGGCGAGGTGCTGCAGCAGACGATCGAGACGAGCTGGCGCGAGGCCGTCGAGGAGCGTGAGCTGCGCCCGGCCATGCAGCCCGAGATCGAGATCACGTCTTACGACGAAGGCAAGGATCTCGAGTTCACCATGGGGATGGAGATCCTGCCGAACATCGAGTTCGGCGATTTCTCCGAGCTCGCTGTTACGCGGCTCAAGGCCGAGGTGAGCGACGAATCGGAGGAGGACGCGCTTGGCCGCCTCGCCGAAGCCGAGAAGCGTTTCGAGCCGGTCGGCGAGCCGAGGCCGGCGCGGGAAGGCGACGAGATCCTGGTCGACATCGCCGTCGAGGTCGACGGCAAACCGGCGCCCGAACGGAGCGGCACGGACGTACCGCTCGAGCTCGATGCCGAAGCGCTCATGCCCGAAATGACCGAGCAGCTCGTCGGCGCGGAGGCTGGCGAGGAACGCGAGGTGACGATCACCCCTCCAGCGCCGACGCCCGAGGGCGAAGACGGCGCGGAGGATCAGGCCGGAGCGGCCGATGCCGCCACCCTGTTCAAGATAACGGTCAAGGAGGTGCGGGAGCGGCTGCCCGTCACGGTCGACGAAGCCTTTGCCGAGCGCCGCGGCGCCAAGGACCTGGACGAGCTGCGCGGCGTGATCCGCGATCAAATTCAGTCGGAGTACGAGCAGGTCTCGCAGGCCCGGCTCAAGCGCTCGCTGCTCGATGTCCTCGACGAGCGCTACAAATTCGAGGTGCCGCCCGGCATGGTCGAGCGCGAGTTCGACGCCGTCTGGCAGCAGATCGAGAACGACGCCAAGAGGGCCGAGACGGAAATCGCCACGCTCCTCGATCAAACGGAGGAGGAGGCGCGGGAAGAGTTCCGCCAGATTGCCGAGCGGCGCGTGCGTCTCGGCCTCCTGATCGCCGAGATCGGCGGCGCCAACGACATCACCGTCGAGCAGGAGGACTTGCTCCGCGCCGCCATGATGAGCGCCCGCGGCCATGCCGAGCCGCAGCGTCTCCTCGACTACTACAGGAACCAACCGCAGGCGCTCGAACGATTCCGCCCCACGGTATTCGAGGACAAGGTGATCGCCTTCTTGAGCGAGCTCGCCACGGTCTCGGATGAGGTGGTCGATGTGGAGACGTTGCTGCGCGATCCGGACGAGGACGAGAAACCGTCGGACTCCGAAACAGCCCAGGCCGGTGAGGACGAGAGTGCTGCGGCCGATGAGGGCGAGAGCACCGCGCCGGACAAGTCGGGCTGAGCCCCCTCGCCGGAAGGAAGAGCGTCATGGCGGATATCGTCGAGACCTACGCCAATACCCTCGTGCCCATGGTCGTGGAGCAGACCAACCGGGGCGAGCGCGCCTACGACATTTACTCGCGCCTGCTCAAGGAACGGATCATCTTCTGACCGGCGGCATCGGCGACGAGGTCGCGAGCCTGGTGACCGCGCAGCTCTTGTTCCTGGAATCGGAGAACCCGACCAAGGACATTTCGGTCTATATCAACAGCCCCGGCGGCCTCGTGACATCGGGCCTCGCGATTTACGACACGATGCAGTACGTGCGGCCGGCGGTGGCCACGCTCTGCATCGGCCAGGCGGCCTCCATGGGCTCGCTGCTGTTGGCGGCCGGCGCCGCGGGGCAGCGCTTCACGTTGCCCAACGCCCGCATCATGCTGCACCAGCCGTCCGGCGGCTTTCAGGGGCAAGCGACCGACATCGAGATTCACGCCAAGGAGATCCTTTCGCTGCGTCAGCGCCTCAATGAGATTTACGTGAACCACACCGGCCAGGATATTGCGGTCATCGAGGATAGTCTGGAGCGCGACAAATTCATGACTCCGGACGAAGCCAAGGAGTTCGGGATCGTGGACGATGTGGTCTCGCAGCGGCCGGAGGCTGCCGACGAATCGGATGACAAGGGCGGCGCCAAGAGGGGAAGCTAGAGATCGCGGCCCGCCGGAGTCGATTTTGGGCGTGGTACCTCCAGCCTGCAGATTGGCGCGGAAAGCACTAGATATTGGGCCTCGAAAACACCGAATGTTGGGCCTAGACACGGGCCGAGGTGTTTGCCAACCTCACGGGGTTCGGGTTGTCTGGAGAGGAGCGTCGCGGGCCTAAGGGCGGCTTTAGCAGGCGAGTCCCGGCAAGCGGCGGTACGGAGCGGACATGAACAAGTCCAGCGGCGGCGATTCGAAGAATACGCTGTACTGCTCTTTCTGCGGAAAGAGCCAGCACGAAGTGCGCAAGCTCATCGCGGGGCCCACGGTGTTCATCTGCGACGAGTGCGTCGAGCTCTGCATGGACATCATCCGCGAGGAGCACAAGAGCGCGCGGGTGAAGAGCCGCGATGGCGTACCCACACCTGCCGAGATTTGCGAGGTGCTGTCCGACTACGTGATCGGTCAGGACCACGCCAAGCGGGTGCTCTCCGTCGCCGTGCACAACCACTACAAGCGCCTCGCCCACGGCAGCAAGGGCAACGAGGTCGAGCTCGCCAAGTCCAACATCCTGCTCGTCGGGCCGACCGGCTGCGGCAAGACTCTGCTCGCTCAAACATTGGCCCGCATCCTCGACGTGCCCTTCACGATGGCCGACGCAACCACGCTGACCGAAGCCGGCTACGTCGGCGAGGATGTCGAGAACATCATCCTGAAACTGCTCCAGTCGGCCGACTATAATGTCGAGCGGGCCCAGCGCGGCATCGTCTATCTGGACGAGGTGGACAAGATCGCCCGCAAGTCGGACAACCCGTCGATCACGCGGGATGTCTCCGGCGAGGGCGTGCAGCAGGCGCTGCTCAAGATCATGGAGGCACCGTGGCCTCGGTCCCGCCCCAGGGCGGGCGCAAGCATCCGCAGCAGGAGTTCCTGCAGGTCGACACGACCAACATCCTGTTCATCTGCGGCGGCGCCTTCTCGGGCCTGGAGAAGATCATCGCCCAGCGCGGGCGCGGCATGGCGATCGGCTTCGGCGCCGATGTGCGCGCGCCGGACGAGCGGAAGACCGGCGAGATCTCTGCGCGAGGTCGAGCCGGAAGACCTGCTCGGCTTCGGGCTCATCCCCGAGTTCGTCGGCCGTCTGCCGGTGATCGCGACTCTCGACGATCTCGATGCGGACGCGCTGGTGGAGATTCTGGTCAAGCCGAAGAACGCGCTCGTGAAGCAGTACGAGAGGCTGTTCGACATGGAGAGCGTGACGCTGGCCTTCACCGAGGACGCGCTCCGCTCGGTCGCGCACAAGGCCATCTTGCGGAAGACCGGCGCACGCGGCCTGCGTTCCATTCTCGAGGCCATCCTGCTCGATCCGATGTTCGATTTGCCGAGCTACGATTCGGTCGAGGAGGTCGTCATCAACCGTGAAGTGGTCGAAGGCAGGGCACAGCCTCTCCTGATTTATTCCGACCGGCTCGAGGACGCGAGTTCGTCGGCATCCTGAGAGGCCGCTTGAACAGCGGCGTCTCCGTACTTACCTTGCCTGGGGGGGAGCGGCGGCGCCGGCCACCGCTCTGAAGCGCAATCGTAAGGCGCACGAGGAACAATGCTGGACGTCTCGTCGATACCGAGCTACCCGGTCCTGCCGCTCAGGGACATCGTCGTCTTTCCGCACATGATCGTGCCGCTCTTTGTCGGGCGCGAGAAGTCGGTCGCTGCGCTCGAGACCGTCATGAAGGACGACAAGCAGATCCTCCTCGTGGCGCAGAAGAACGCCTCCCAGGACGAGCCTGCGCCCAAGGACATCCATTCCGTCGGCGTGGTCGGCTCGGTACTCCAGCTCCTCAAGCTGCCGGACGGGCACCGTCAAGGTCCTGGTGGAGGGAGGCGCCCGCGCGCGGATCGTCGAGTTTCAGGACAATCCGGCATTCTTCGAGGCGCGGGCCGAGAAGATGGAGGAGGACGAGGGCAACGCCGACGAGCTGGAGGCGCTCGGCCGCTCGGTAACGAGCCAGTTCGAGCAATACGTGAAGCTCAACAAGAAGGTGCCGCCGGAGGTGCTGGTCTCGGTGAACCAGATCGAGGAGCCGAGCAAGCTCGCGGACACGATCGCCTCGCACCTCTCGATCAAGCTCGGCGAGAAGCAGGAACTGCTGGAGATCGGCTCGGTCAGCGGCCGGCTGGAACGCGTGATCTCGCTGATGGAAGGCGAGATCGGGGTGCTCCAGGTCGAGAAGCGCATCCGCTCGCGCGTCAAGCGTCAGATGGAGAAGACGCAGCGCGAGTACTATCTGAACGAACAGATGAAGGCGATCCAGAAGGAGCTGGGCGAGGGCGAGGACGGGCGCGACGAGGCGGCGGAGTTCGAGGCGCGCATCAAGGCCACGAAGCTCACCAAGGAGGCGCGCGAGAAGTCGCTGGCCGAGGTCAAGAAGCTGCGCTCGATGAGCCCCATGTCGGCCGAAGCCACGGTGGTCCGCAACTACCTCGACTGGATGCTGTCGATCCCGTGGAAGAAGCGCACCCGCGTCAAGAAGGACCTCAAGAACGCCGAGAAGATCCTCAACGACGACCATTACGGGCTGGAGAAGGTCAAGGAGCGGATCCTCGAGTATCTCGCGGTCCAGCAACGGGCGCGCAAGATGAAGGGGCCGATCCTCTGCCTGGTTGGCCCGCCCGGAGTCGGCAAGACCTCCCTCGGCAAGTCGGTGGCACGCGCGACGGGGCGCAACTTCGTGCGCTTCTCGCTGGGTGGCGTCCGCGACGAGGCCGAGATCCGCGGCCACCGCCGCACCTATATCGGCTCGCTGCCGGGCAAGATCATCCAGTCGATGAAGAAGGCGAAGTCGTCGAACCCGCTCTTCCTCCTCGACGAGGTCGACAAGATGGGCGCCGATTTCCGGGGCGACCCCGCCTCCGCCCTGCTGGAGGTGCTCGACCCGGAGCAGAACAACACCTTCAACGATCACTATCTGGAGGTCGATTACGACCTCTCGGACGTGATGTTCATCACCACGGCCAACACGCTGAGGATGGCGCCTGCCCTGCTCGATCGGATGGAGACCATTCGTATCCCGGGCTACACCGAGCACGAGAAAGTCCAGATCGCCAAGCGCCACCTGATTCCGAAGCAGGCCAAGGCGCATGCGCTCAAGAAGGGCGAGTGGTCGATCTCGGACGAGGCGCTGATCGACCTGATCCGCTACTTCACCCGCGAAGCCGGCGTGCGCAATCTGGAGCGGGAGCTCGCGAACCTGGCCCGCAAGGCGACGAGGGAAATCGTGGCGGATGGCCGGGAGAAGGTTCGTGTCACCCGGCGCAACCTCAAGAAGTTTGCCGGCATCCGCAAGTACCGCTACGGCGAGGTCGAGCACAAGGACATGGTGGGCGTCACCACGGGCCTCGCCTGGACCGAGGTCGGCGGCGAGCTGCTCTCAATCGAGTCGGTGACGCTTCCGGGCAAGGGCCGCGTCATCTCCACCGGCAAGCTCGGCGACGTAATGCGTGAATCGGTTCAGGCGGCCGAGAGCTACGTCAAGTCGCGCGCGGTCGAGTTCGGAATCAGGCCTACGATCCTCAGCAAGCGCGATATCCACGTCCACGTGCCGGAGGGCGCGACGCCCAAGGACGGCCCGTCCGCCGGTGTCGCCATGGTGACCTCCATCGTCTCGGTGCTGACGGGCGTCGCGGTCAGGAGATCGGTCGCGATGACCGGCGAGATCACGCTGCGCGGGCGCGTGCTGCCGATCGGCGGCCTCAAGGAGAAGATGCTTGCGGCGCTGCGCGGGGGGCTCACGACGGTCCTGATCCCAAGTGAGAACGAGAAGGACCTCGAAGACATCCCCGACAATGTGAAGAAGGACCTCACCATCATCCCGGTCGAATCGATGGACGATATCCTGGCGCTCGCGCTCGTCGCCCCGCTCGTGCCCATCGAATGGACGGAGGCTGACGAAGCAGCGCTCTACGGCCTCGCCACCTCGGACGACGACGCGGACGTGAGAGTCCTGCCCCCGCTGGGTGGCCGCGAGGCGCCGGTCCCTCCCCCGGTTTCCTGAGCGCTGTCCGGGCCTCTGGCCCTTCGGCCATGACCGCCCGCTTGAACTCTTGATCGGCTCGACGGTCGGTCGCGGTCTCCGTCCCCACGCCCTTCCCAATGCGCTACGGGCCCGAGTTCATCAGTAAAGAATCCACTTCTAGGCCTGGTTAAACGGGGCGACTCAGGGTGTCTCCCGCCTGGGAAGCCCGCGGACAACGCCGTCTTCGAATCGTTCAGGGCGGAGCGCCTGAATGTCCTTTGATTCCCGAGCCTGGGCGTGACCGCCACCATCCAAAGCCGACGGCATGTCGGGCGGGCTCGATGTTCCGTCAATGCACGGATATTCCGACTCGAGCATCCACCGGGGGTTGGTCAGCGATCACCGGGGCCTATCGCAAGATCAACCCCACCATGCCGGACGCCAACTCGCCAGCTTCGCTTGGCGGTGCGACGGGTGCTATCAACTCCATGCCATGGTCTCGCACTCCGTCCATAGCGCCGCGACAACTGTTCCAGTGAACTGTCGCATCCTTGTCACAGAACGACATTCACGGACTTGCAGGAAAGGAGTTGGCAATGCGCAACCTGCTTCTCATCGGACAAGGCTCGGTACTCGCTTTCATCGTGTTGGCGATTACCGCTTGCAGCGTTGGATTCACAGCGGGACCACTCGGCGCGGTTGAAATCAAGCGTGGTCAGCCGATCGAGATCCGCGCGCTCCTTTCCGATTCGGTCGTGCCGTCTGTGTCCCCTCTCATCCGAACCGCCATCGAGATAGCGATAAAGGATTTCGGCCCAATACACGGGCACGACGTCTCCGTCGAAACTCTCGACGAGACATGCTCTGGCCCAGGTGGGCGCGCGGCGGCTGAGGCCGTCGTTGCCGGCCCGCAGATCGTCGGCGTCATCGGGACCTTGTGCTCCGGTGCGGCGGTGGAGGCATCGCCGATCCTCAGCAGGCGGGTTTCTCCATGATTTCACCGGCCAACACCTCACCTGTGCTCACGTCCGATCTGGCCGGCAATGCGGGCCCGGACTACCACAAGGGTTACTACCGCGTTACCGACAACGACCTCATCGAGGCGAGCGTTGTCGCACACTTCAGCTACGATGAGCTTGGGTTGCGCACGATGGTCACGATCCACGATGGCGACCCCTATACCAGCGCCATCGCGAATGCTCTTGCTGCAGCATTTCGCGAGCATGGCGGCGCGGTTCCGGTCGTCGCTCAGGTGGCAAAAGGCCAGACTGACATGGCCACCGTTCTTGCCCAGTTCGACGAAGCCGACCCCGATGGCGTGTTCATCCCGCTCTTCCCGACGGAGGCAACGACTCTGCTTCAACAGGCAGCCCAGTCCGGCGCCCTGGATGGTGTGACGACGATCGCCGGTGCCGCCATATTGACGACGGAGGTTCTTGCGTTGCCGGAGTCAGAAGGCCTCTATTTCACCGCACCTGATCTCGGAGACAGCGGCAACACGAACCAGGCGACGGGCAGAAGTGCTGCTGATGTACTGGCCGCGTTCGAGGTCGCCTTCGGGGGGCCGCCAACGTCGCCTTACTGGGGGCACGGGTATGACGCCACGACGCTGTTGCTCTCGGCTATCGAGCAGGTTTCGGTCGTCGATGGAGATACGCTCAACATCGACCGCGTGGCACTCCGTGATGCGTTGGATAGCACTGCAGACTTTCAGGGCATCGTCGGCACGCTTACCTGCGATGACTTCGGGGACTGCGGTAAGGGCCGCAGCGTGATCCATCGGCACGAGGACTCCAGCGTCACGGACCCGTCACTCCTACCCATCGTGTACAAGGGTGCTCGGGACTCGCACCTGCCTCAACACTGACGTCGAAGGCGGCGAGGGTCTTTCCAGGGAGCGAGCGGGCTTCCTTGAGGAGGCGCGGCGGTTCGTCGGCGGCTACTGCAGGCAGGCGCAACGCCCCATCGGCTCACGAGGTGCGTCGCCCGGCGCCCCGTGGCGTGCCTGCTGGTCGAAGAACGAGGCACCGGTCGGCAACTGCGGCAGATCGAGTTCGTAGTCCATCGAGCGCACGCGCCCGGTGCGCTGCCCGCGAACGAGCCGCCCCTCGTAGCGGCTCGGCACCGGATTCGGAGAAATGGCGACCGCGTCTTCCGCGCTGTACACCGAGATGTGAAGCGTCCGGGGCCGCGCGGAGCGGTTGGCAGTGGAACCGTGCAGGAGGCGCGTGTGCATCAGGCACGCCGCACCTGCCGGCCCCACGCACATCCTGGCGGATGCCACGGCCGCGTCGGCCACCGCGTCTGCGACCGCGCCCGTGAACACGCCCTCGTGCCAGAGGCTGTGGATGGGGCCGCGGTGCGAGCCGGCAAGGACCTGTAGCGGCCCGTTCTCCTCGGTGACCTCGTCCACCATCAGCAGCGCCGTGACGACATCGTCGTTGCTGTGCGGTGTGAACGAGAAGTCCTGGTGCCATTTGACCTCGGTGTGTCCGCCGGGAGCTTGGAGTTGATCTTGGTGTGGTGCAGCTTCACGTCGGGTCCGATCAACTCGGCAACGCAGTCGGCCATGCGGCTCTCCAGCGTGGCCGCAAGATAGGCCTCAGACACCTCCACCGGCGCATTGACCCGGCGAAGGCTCGGTTTTCCGCGCTGTGACCCGGCTCGAGGTCGAAGCGCGGCCTGCCGTCCACGGTGTCGCCCCAAGCGGCGTCGTGAGACCGGCTCTCCTCCACCCACGCAGCGAAGTCCTGCTTCAACCGCTTGAGCAGGGCGCCATCCACCGCATTCTCGACCATCAGATAGCCGTGTTCATGGAAGAACGCGCACTGATCGGGGCGAAGCTCGGGCATAAGCGCTCCGGCTCATCGAGTGGACGACGCGGCCATGTTAGGGAGAGTGCAGGAATAGGAAAAGCGTTCCCGCCTTTCGATGAGAGACATTTGCTGGCTACGCAGGCCGTGACATTGGTGAGAAATCCGGGCTAGAACCGGCCGCGCCCCATCGCCGCGTGTCCTGGGTCGATGGGCGTCCCCTCAACCCAATCCTTCGCATCATCTGGAGGCGCCGCGCATGACCGTCGAGAACCGCTGCAAGAGAAAGATGCTCGCGGGCGAGCCCGCGCTCGGGGCCTGGCTCGCGATGGGCAGCCCCATCGCTGCCGAGATCGTGGCCAACGCCGGCTACGACACGGTCATCATGGATCACGAGCACGGCCCCGGCGACCTGCTCAACGCCATCGGCCTGATGCAGGCCGCGGCTTCGTCCGGCGCGACCCCGATGATGCGCGTGCCGTGGAACGACATGGTCTACATCAAGCGGGCGCTCGACATCGGCGTGATGGGCATCGTCGTGCCCTATGTGCAGAACGCCGCCGAGGCCGAGGCGGCGGTCGCCGCCTGCCGCTATCCGACCGTGGGCGTGCGCGGGGTTGCGCCCCACGCGGCGCGCTGCTCGCGCTGGGGCTCGCAGATCAAGGACTATCTCGCGGCGATGCCGCAGGAGATCCTTGTCGCCTGCCAGATCGAGACCGAGGAAGCGATCGACAATATCGAGGAGATCGCGGCGGTCGACGGCGTCGACATGCTGTTCCTCGGGCCGAGCGACGTCTCGGCGAGCATCGGCCACATGCTCGACATGGAAGAGCCGAAGGTGATCCAGCTGCTCCAGAAGGCGGAGCGCAAATTGCGCGCGACGGGCAAGCTGCTCGCCACGGTCACGCGCCCCGGCAAGTCCGTCAAATGGACCTTCGAGCGCGGCTACGACCTGGTCGTCTGCGGCCAGGACGCGAAGCTGCTCCAGGGTGCCGCCCTCGCCCAGGTCAAGGAGTTCCGCGACTCGCCGCCGAAGAAGCGCGCCCGTTAGAACTCAACCGGGCGCTGGCTCAAGTCGCCCGGTAGTGCGCCTCCTCGTCCGGCTTGCCGGGGCAGGTGGCACGCCCGCTCTCGACCAGATTGATCAGGTGGGCGAGCACGGTGCGGGCGGCGGCGGGGCGGAGGCGCGGGTCGAGCCCCCGGTAGCGCAGGGTCACGATCTCGGGAATGGTCGCAGCACCCTCCGCCACGGCGGACAGGATCTCCGACTCCCGCCGGCGCCGATGGCTGAGCAGCTTGCCGACGAAGCGTCGCGGCTTCGGGATAGGCGGCCCATGCGTGGGCCAGTAGGTCTCCTCGTCACGCCCCTTGAGCTTCTCCAGCGAAACCATGTAGGCGCCCATGTCGCCATCCGGCGGCGAGACCACCGTGGTCGACCACCCCATCACGTGATCGCCGGAGAAGAGCGCCCGCTCCTCCGCCAGCGCGAAGCAGAGATGGTTCGAGGTGTGGCCGGGAGTATGCACAGCCTCAAGCGTCCAACCGTCGCCGGCGACGACCGCGCCGTCTGCAAGCCGGTGGTCCGGCACGAAGTCGCGGTCCGCGCCTTCCTCCACCGCCGGCCCCTCACCGCCCCCGTGCGGGCCGAAGCCGTAGGTCTCAGCCCCGGTCGCGGCCTTGATGTGGCGTGTCGCCGGTGAGTGGTCGATATGGGTGTGGGTCACGATGAGGTGAGTCACGGTCTCGCCGCGCACGGCAGCGAGGACTGCATCGACGTGCTGGGCCAAGTCGGGGCCGGCATCGATGATCGCCACCTTGCCGTGGCCCACGATGTAGGTGCCGGTGCCGTGGAAGGTGAAGACGCTTGGGTTGTGCGCGATGACGCGGCGGATCAGCGGCGAGACCTGCGCCACCGCGCCGTAGCTGAAGTCGAGCTCGCGGACGTAGGGGAGCGGCTCGCTCATGGCGCGAACCCGTCGTGGACGTCTGTCGGGTGCAGGACAATGCCCTCCAGGCTCGGCTCGTGACGGAGTGGATGGCGCCGGTATGGACGGCAGCGCCCGGTTGAATGGCGGCCGGCAATGGGTATCATCGCCTCGCCGCCGGGGTCAAATGCCGGCGCAGAGCGACCAGAGACGATGAGGGACGGCCCGTGACCATCGATCCGCCAGAGATCATCGAGGTCGACGAGACGGTCGTTGCGTGCAACGGCGGCGGCGGCGCGCTCGGCCATCCGCGCGTCTTCCTCAATCTGGAGACGGGCGGCGCCATCGACTGCCCCTATTGCGACCGGCGCTTCGTCCTGAAGGCAGGCGCCGCCAAGTCCGGCGGCCACTAAGCCATCTCTCATCGAGCGCCGGTCCGCATCGCCAGAACGGCGATGAAGCCCAGCCCCGAAACCGCAGCACACACCCAGTAGGCTCCCGAGCCCCAGGCGGCATAGAGCAGGCCCGCGATCAGGAGCCCGGCGCCCAACCCCAAGCCGTTGGTCAGCGCAGCGAACAGCGCCTGCGCCGTGTTCGACGATCCGGCGGGCACGGTGCGGGCTATGAAGACCATCGCGCCGAGGTGCATGGCGCCGAAAGTGAGCGCGTGCAGGCATTGGGCAAGCGCCAGCACCCAGACCTCCGTCGTCAGCGCCAGCACCGCCCAGCGCACCACGCCGGCTAACGCTGCCGCCCCCAGGAGCCCCACCGGCCCGATGCGACGGAGCAGCGGCGCGTTGCACGCGAAGAGGATCACCTCGGCGACGACACCGCCCGCCGCCAGAGCATGCCGATCACCCATTCCGTGAGCCCGACGCTGAGCCAGTGGAGCGTCGAGAACCCGTAGAACACCGCATGCGCGCCGTGAATCGCCGTGGTCGCGATCACCATGAGGCGGAACTGCCGATCGCCCAGCACACTCAGGATCGGCGCTGCGGGCGGCGCATCGCCGCCGCGCTTGTCCGGCATGGCGAAGGAGCCTGCGATCATCAGCGCGATGCAGACGAGGATCATGGTGAGGATCAGCTCGGCGGAGGGCACCGCGGCGGCCTCCAGCACCGCGCCCCCCACTGCCGCAGCAACGAGGTAGGACACCGAGCCCCACAGCCGCACGCGGCCATAGCCGGACTCCGCCGAGACCGTGCGCAGCGCGATGGTCTCGCCCAGCGGCAGCACGCCGGCATAGACCAGCGTGAAGACGGTGCTGACCGCGAAGATCGGCCAGAAGCCCCAGGTCCAATAGAAGGCGGCGGCGACCAGAAGCACGGTAGCGCGCAGGCGACCAGCGGCCCCGCGTGCTGTCGCGGCGGTCGGCGAAGCGTCCGATAAAGGGGCCGGCGGCGGCGCGCAGCATGAGCGTGAGCCCCAGCATCAGCCCGATCTCGGTCACCGAGAGGCCGCGCGCCTGCAGGAAGAGCGGCCAGAACGGCAGCGCCACCCCCGCCACCAGAAAATAGGCCGCATAGAAGGCGGAGATGCGGGGTGCCGCGTAGGGGATGGAAGCGCTGCGGGCAGACACGGGGGGCAGCTCGCGGTTGGCGACGGTTGGCGGCGTCCGCGCGGCGCCCGCTGTGCGGGGGCCGGCCTGCGTGGCATAGTGGCGCGCATCGCCGACGGGCAAGTGCCCGCCGACGAGACCCTGAAGCCGGAGCGCCCATCGTGAGCCACGAAGCCCCCGACGACGCGGGCGCCTTGCGCCACCTCTACCTCATCGACGGCTCGGGCTTCGTCTTCCGCGCCTTCCATGCGCTCCCGCCGCTGACCCGCCCTGACGGCACGCCCGGTCAATGCGGTGCTCGGCTTCACCAACATGCTGTGGAAGATCCTGCGCGAAACCGATGCGGACCATGCCGCAGTGATCTTCGACACGGCGCGGCTCACCTTTCGCAATGAGATCTACGAGCTCTACAAGGCGAACCGGGGCGAGACGCCGGAGGAGCTGATTCCGCAGTTCCCCCTCGTCCGCGAGGCCGCCGGCGCCTTCAACCTGGCGTCGATCGAGCTCGTCGGCTTCGAAGCCGACGACCTGATCGCGGCTTATGTCGAGGCCGCGCGGGCGCGGGGTGCGCGGGTCACCATCGTCTCCGCCGACAAGGACCTGATGCAGCTCGTCGAAGGCGACTCGGTGGTCATGTACGACTACTTCAAGAATCGGGAGATCGGCCCCGACCAGGTGCATGAGCGTTTCGGCGTGGGGCCTGAGCGGGTGATCGACGTGCAGGCGCTCGCCGGCGACAGCACCGACAATGTGCCGGGCGTGCCCGGCATCGGGGTCAAGACGGCGGCGCAGCTCATCAACGACTATGGCGACCTCGACCGACTGCTGGAGCACGCCGAAGAGATCAAGCAACCCAAGCGGCGCCAGAACCTGATCGAGCATGCCGAGATGGCGCGCCTTTCCCGCGATCTCGTGACGCTCCGCCGGGATGCGCCCTTGCCGATGCCGCTGGAGGCGCTTGTGCGCCGTCAGCCGGAGCCGGGCGCGCTTCGCGCCTTCTTCCAGGAAAACGGCTTCAGGTCGATCGCCGCGCGGCTCGGGACCGATGGTGGAGAGGCAACGCTGGCCGAGGAGGAGGCGGAGCCAAACGAGACGGCCCCCCTCCCCGCCTCCTACCCGCTGGTGACGGATGCGGCCGCGCTCGTGGACTGGGTAGAGAAGGCGCGCGAGAGCGGCGTGCTGGCGCTGGAGCCGTTCCGATCGGCCGGGTCTCCGGAGGGGGCCGGCCTCGCGGGCGTCGCACTCGCCACGGCGCCGGGCGAGGCCTGCTATGTCCCCCTCGGCCACGCCAGCCCCGACCTGCTGGAGGCGGCACAGGCGAGCGCGCAACTCGACTTCGCCGAGGCGCTGGCGGTCCTCGATCCGGTGCTGACCGACCCCGGCGTGCTTAAGCTCGGCCTCGACATCAAGCAGACCCTGCGCCTGCTATCCACGCACGGGCGAACGCTCGCCCCGGTCGACGATGCGATGCTGGCCTCCTGGGTGCTCGACGGCAGCCTGCATGGCCATGCTCTCGAGGACCTGACGCAGCTCCATCTTGACCGCGCGGCACCGGCGCTTGCCGCCGTGCTCGGCAGCGGGCGCAACAAGGTTTCCGTCGACGCGGTCTCGCCCGAGGCGCTGCGGGATACCGCCGCGGCGCACGCCGATCTCGCGCTCCGCCTCCACAGCGTCATTCGGCCGCGCCTCGTCGCCGACCGTCTCACCACGGTGTTCGAGCGGATCGAACGCCCGCTGATCGCGGTGCTGGCCCGGATGGAAGCCGCCGGCATCCTCGTGGACCAGGGCGAACTCGTCGCGCTGTCGGCGGACTTCGCCGGCCGGATCGAGACGCTGGAGAGCGAGATCCACGCCCTCGCCGGCCATCCCTTCACCATCGGCTCGCCCAAGCAGCTTGGGCGAGGTGCTGTTCGACGAGATGGGGCTCCGGAGCGGGCGCAAGGGCAAGTCGGGCGCCTACAGCACCGGCGCCGACATTCTGGAGGAGCTGGCGGCCCAAGGCCACGACCTGCCGGCGCGGGTGCTCGACTGGCGCCAGCTCACCAAGCTCAAGAGCACCTACACGGACGCGCTGATCGAGCACATCGACCCCGCAACCCGGCGCGTGCACACGACCTTTACCATGACCGCCGCGAACACCGGGCGGCTCTCCTCCAACGACCCCAACCTGCAGAACATCCCGATCCGCACCGAGGAGGGCCGCCGCATCCGCCGCGCCTTCGTCGCCGCTCCGGGTCATGTGCTGCTGTCCGCCGACTATTCGCAGATCGAGCTTCGCATCCTCGCCCACGTCGCCGGCGTAGACTCGCTCAAGGACGCCTTCCGCGAGGGGATCGACATCCACGCGCTGACCGCGAGCCAGGTGTTCGGCTTGCCGCTCGAGGGCATGGACCCGATGGTCCGCCGCTCGGCCAAGGCGATCAATTTCGGGATCATCTACGGCATCAGCCCCTTCGGGCTCGCCCGCCAGATCGGCGTCCCCCAGGCCGAGGCCAAGGGCTATATCGAGGCCTATTTCGCGCGCTATCCCGGCATCAAGGACTATATGGAGCGCACAAAAAAGGCAGCCCACGCGGAAGGCTTCGTGACCACGCTCTTCGGCCGCAAGTGCCGGCTGCCGGGCATCAACGATCGCAACCCGGCGCGCCGCGCGTTTCAGGAGCGCGCGGCAATCAACGCACCGATCCAGGGCGCCGCCGCCGACGTCATCAAGCGCGCGATGATCCCGATGCAGGGCGCGCTGGAGGCCTGCGGCCTGCGGGCCCGGATGCTGCTCCAGGTGCACGACGAGCTGGTGTTCGAGGTGCCCGAGGCGGAAGTCGATGAGACCGGCGACATCGTCAAGCGGGTGATGGAAGGCGCCGCCCATTTGGACGTGCCGCTCACCGTCGATGTCGGCACCGGCGCTAGCTGGGCCGACGCTCACTGACGCCAAGCCGTCGGGAGCGGCGTGCCGTCGCGGTCATGGCGCGCGCCCTGCAAAGGCGCCGTTGACTGGGCCCGATCCTGTGGCATACTGCCTGCGACGCGCGGGCCGGCGTTCGCCGGGTAGGCCCGCGCGCTGTTGCATCTTATCCCACTGTCGTGAGCGCAATGAAAACCTTCTCGGCAACGCCTGCCACCATCGATAAGAAGTGGATGCTGGTGGATGCTGAGGACATCGTCCTCGGCAGGCTCGCCACCATCGTCGCCACTCGCCTGCGCGGCAAGCACAAGCCAAGCTACACGCCGCACATGGACTGCGGCGACAACATCGTCATCGTCAATGCCGAGAAAGTACGGCTCACCGGGCGCAAGCGGGAAGACAAGCTCTACCATCACCACACCGGGTATCCCGGCGGGCTCAAGACCCGCACCGTCGCCCGCATCCTTGGCGGCAAGCGACCGGAGACGGTGGTAATCAAAGCGGTGCAGCGGATGCTCCCCAAAGGCCCCTTGGGCCGCCAGCAGATGGCGAACCTCAAGGTCTATGCCGGCCCGGACCATCCGCACGAGGCGCAGCAACCCGAGCCCCTCGACATCGCCGCGATGAATCCGAAGAACGCGAGGAGCACGCTGCGTGGCTGACGAGTCGAAGACCCTGACCAGCCTTGCCGAGCTCGGCGAGGTCGCCCTGCCCGACGTTGAAATCGAGCCCGAGCCGCAGATCGACCACCTGGGCCGCACCTACGCGACCGGCAAACGCAAGGACGCGGTCGCGCGCGTTTGGCTGCGGCCTGGCGTCGGCACGATCACGGTCAACAAGCGCGCGGTGGAGGTTTACTTCGCCCGCCCGGCGCTCAGAATGATCATCAACCAGCCAGCGGAGCTGGTCGCGCGCCTCTCCCAGTACGACGTCATCTGCACCGTCAAGGGCGGCGGCCTCTCCGGCCAGGCCGGCGCGGTTCGGCACGGCATCAGCCGGGCGCTGGTGGCGCGCGAGCCGGAGCTCCGCAAGATGCTCAGGTCCGGCGGCTTCCTCACCCGCGACAGCCGCGTCGTGGAGCGCAAGAAGTACGGCAAGCGCAAGGCCCGCCGGAGCTTCCAGTTCTCCAAACGCTGAGTTCGGCGTTGCCGGCGCGCTTTTTTCCCCGGCTTACGCGATCTGAGTAGGCTTCCCATGAGCCACCCTTCCTCCGGCACGGGCAACACGGCCCGCGTCGGTGTGCTCGGTGCGAGCGGTTATACCGGCGGCGAGTTGCTGCGCCTGCTGGCGAGCCACGACGGCTTCTCGGTCGGCCTGCTCACCGCCGAGCGGCGCGCGGGTCAGAGCCTGGGCGCGGTCTTTCCCCATCTGGGCGGCGCCGGCTTCCCCGACCTCGTCAAGATCGAGGACGCCGCCTGGGACGCCCTCGACGCGGTCTTCTGCTGCCTGCCCCACGGCACCACGCAGGAGGTCGTTGCCGCCCTGCCGGGCCATCTCAAGGTAGTGGACCTCTCGGCCGACTTCCGTCTCGCGGACCCGGAAGTCTACGCGGAATGGTACGGGCGGGCGCACGGCGCCGTGGCGCTCCAGGCCGAGGCGGTCTACGGGCTGACCGAGCTCGCACGCGACGACGGTGCGCGGCGCCCGCCTCGTGGCGAACCCGGGCTGCTACCCGACCGCGTCGCAGCTGCCGCTGGCGCCGCTGCTCGAAGACGGGCTGATCGAGAGCGAGGACATCATCATCGACGCCAAGTCGGGGGTCTCGGGCGCGGGGCGCGAGGCCAAGCAGGGGAGTCTCTTCGCCGAGGTCGGCGAGGGCGTGCACGCCTACGGCGTCGCCCACCACCGCCACGCGCCGGAGATCGAGCAAGGGCTCTCGGCGGCGGCGGGGACGCCCATTCGCGTCAACTTCACGCCCCATCTGATTCCGATGAACCGGGGCATTCTGGCGACGATCTACGTCCGCAGCCGCGCGGGCGCCGATGCTCTGCGCGAAGCGCTTGCCCGGCGCTATGCGGACGAGCCGTTCGTGCGCGTCCTGCCGGCGGGCGCAGCACCCGCGACCCGCCACGTGCGGGGCTCGAACCACTGCCTCATCGGGGTCTTCGACGACCGGATCGAGGGGCGCGCCATCCTGATCTCGGCCATCGACAATCTGGTGAAGGGCGCCTCCGGCCAGGCGATCCAGAACATGAACCTGATGCACGCCCTGCCGGAGACGACCGGGCTCGAGCAGGCGCCGCTCTTCCCTAGAGGGTCGGGAGCATATGTCGGCCGGCCTGCTCCTGCCCTACCACCACCGCTGGCCCAAGGTGGCGCCAAACGCCTTCGTCGCGGCCGGCAGCAGCGTGATCGGCGACGTCGTGCTCGGGGCCCAGTCGAGCGTCTGGTTCAACTGCGTCCTGCGCGGCGACGTGAACTACATCCGCGTCGGCGCGCGCAGCAACGTCCAGGACGGCACGATCATCCACACCGCCACCGCCGACGGCCCCACGCTCATCGGCGAGGACGTGGTGGTGGGCCACATGTGCCTGCTCCATGCCTGCGTGCTGGAGGACGGCTGCATGATCGGCATGGGCGCCACGGTGATGGACTACGCGGTGGTGGAAACCGGCGCCTGGGTCGCCGCCGGCGCGCTGGTGACGCCCGGCAAGCGGGTCAAGAGCGGCGAGATGTGGATGGGCCGGCCGGCACGGCCCACGCGGATGGTGAGCAACGCGGAGCGCGAGACCATCGTGAGCATCGCCCGGCGCTACGCTAACAGAGCCGGCGAGTACCGTGCCTCGTCGGCCCGCCGCAGCGGGCCCCTGCGATCATGCGGCCAGCACGTAGGAGCCCGGCGCGTCCTCGATCGGCTTGAGCGCTCCTGCGCCGGGAACACGCGCCGGCACCTTGTTGCCGCCGGCACGGCGGCGCTGCCATGCGTGCCAGTCGTTCCACCAGGAACCCTCGTGGCGCTCGGCGGCGGCGAGCCAGGCGTCGGCACCCTGCGACTCCACGATCGGCCCGGTCCAGTAGCCGTATTTTCCGGCCGCGGGCGGATTGATGATGCCGGCGATATGGCCGGAGGCGCCGAGCACGAAGCGGCGCTGCCCCCCATAGAGCCCGCACGCGGCGAAGCAGGACTGCCACGGCGCGATGTGATCCTCCCGCGTCGCCACGATATAGGTCGGGATGTCGATACGGCGAAGGTCGATGGGAACGCCAGCGAGGCTCAGGCCCCCTGGCTGGGCGAGCAGGTTCTCCCGATACATCTTGCGCAGGTAGTAGCCGTGCATCGCCGCCGGCATCCGGGTCGAGTCCGAGTTCCAGAAGAGCAGGTCGAAGGGCATCGGCTCCCGGCCGAGGAGGTAGTTGTTGACCACGAATGACCAGATCAGGTCGTTGGCGCGAAGCATGTTGAAGGTCGTCGCCATGTGGCGGCCGTCGAGGTAGCCCTTCTCCGCCATCATGGCGTCGAGGGACTCGATCTGGGCATCGTCGATGAAGACGCCGAGCTCGCCGGGCTCTGCAAAATCGACAAGGGAGGCGAAGAAGGTCGCGCTCTTGATGCGCTCGTCACCCCGCGCCGCGAGATACGCCAGCGTCGCCGCCGTGAGCGTGCCGCCCAGGCAGTAGCCGATCGGCGCCACATCGCGCTCGCCCGTGGCCTCCGCAATCGCATCGAGCGCAGCCAGCGGGCCTTCCAGCATGTAGTCCTCGAAGGTCTTCTCCGCGAGCCGCTCGTCCGGGTTGACCCAGGAGATCAAGAAGACCGTGTAGCCCTTCGACACCGCCCACCTGACGAATGAGTTCTTCGGCCGCAGATCGAGCACGTAGTACTTGTTGATCCAGGGCGGCACGATGAGGAGCGGCCGGCGATACACCGTCTCCGTGCCAGGCGCATACTGGATCAGCTGCATGAGGTCGTTCTGGAAGACGACCGTTCCGGGCGTCGTCGCGACGGTCTCGCCCAGGGTGAAATGGCCTTCGTCCGACATCCGCGGCGCGAACCGGCCGTCGTTGCGTTCGAGATCGTCGAGCACGTTGCGGAGGCCCCGCAGCAGGTTCTCGCCCTTGGTCTCGACTGTCTCCCGCAGGGCCGCCGGATTGGTGGCGAGAAAATTGGTGGGCGCCAGCGCGTCGACGAATTGGCGGCTGTAGAAGGCGAGCTTCGCGGCGTCCCTTTCCTCCAGACCCTGAATGTCCCCCACCGCCGACTGAACGCAGGCGGCGGTCAGCAGGTAGGACTGCTTCAGATGATCGAAGGCCCAGTTCTCGGTCCAAGCCGGATCGCGAAAACGCCGGTCGTCGGGCGCGGGCTCAACGATCGGCTCCGACGGCGCCTCGCCCTGTAGGCGTTGGGCACCCTGCTGCCACAGCCTGAGATAGCCGTCCCACCACTTCATCTGAGCGTCGATCAGCGGCGAGGGGTCGGCGGCAAGGCTTCGTGCCATCGCCATGAAGGCGTCGCTCAGGTTGAGCGGGTCGGCGCTCGACCCGGCGCCCGCCGCGTCCCTGCCCGCTCAGCAAGCGCGCGGCCATCCGCTGGCTCTGCGCCGCAATGGCGGCGAGATGCTCAGCCATATCGTTTTCCGTCCCGTCCGCGGCGGTCGGTTCATCGGTCATTGCAAGCCGGATCCATGTGAGTTTGGCGAGCGCGCCTGCCGGCCGGTGCCCGCGTATGCGATTGATGGGAATTCCGTATATGCTACTAACGAGTCGCACCGTTCTCAATACTTGCGGACGCCGGACGTCGCCAACAATCCAGGAGAATGCGCCATGCCCGATCCCCAGGCCACCCGGACGACTGCGCAGCCTCGCAGGCGGCGCTCCTTGCGCCCGCTGGCGCTCCTCGCGATCGGGCCGCTCGCTCTCGGGCTCCTCGTCGGCGGTTGCACGGCGGTCGAGTATACGACCGATTACATCGGCGACCTGTTCAGCTACGTCGAGGACGACGACGAGATCTTCGGCGACAACGCTATCCCGGGCGGCGACGAGCCTTATCGCTCGCTCAGCGAGGTGCCGGCCGAAGCGCCCGCCATGTCGAGCACGGAAGAGCGCGCCGCATTGACCGCCGGCCTGGTGGCGGATCGCGAGAACGCGCAGCACACGGCGGAAACGCTTCGCGCGCGCGTAGACCCGGAAGAACCGATGACGCAGGTTCGGGCGGTCTATCAGCCGGCGGAAGAGGCAACGGAGCCCGCTCCGGCGAACGGTGGATGATCGCGCCGGGCGCCCCTCTCGTCGGAACCAAGGGCGCGCCGGCCACCGCCGGCGTGCCCCGCAACCCGTCACTCAACCGGCTCGCTGAGACCCCCGCCCCATCGTGACCGATCGTTCCCTTGCTGCGCCGGGCGGCCAGGGATCGGCCGGCCGCCCTCCACCCGTGCCGCAACCGAAGCCGGAAGAAGCCCTCCCCCATGCCTGAGCCGCTGCGTATCGCCATTGCCGGACTGGGCACGGTCGGCTGCGGGGTGCTCGCGCTCCTGCGCGACAACGCAGCGCTGCTCGAGCAACGGACGGGCCGGTCGATCGAGGTGGTCGCGGTCTCGGCGCGCGACAAGGGCAAGGATCGCGGGGTCGCGCTCGACGGGCTCGAGTGGCGGGATGACGCCCGGGCGCTCGCCGCCCTCCCCGCCGTCGATGTCGTCGTCGAGCTGATCGGCGGGTCGGAGGGCACCGCGCGGGCGCTCTCGGAGGCGGCTCTCGCCCACGGCAAGCATCTGGTGACGGCCAACAAGGCCCTGCTCGCCCATCACGGCGCGGCGCTCGCCGAGGCCGCGCAGCGGGCGCATCGTCATCTCGGTTACGAGGCAGCCGTCGCCGGCGGCATCCCCATCGTCAAGGCGCTCCGCGAGGGCCTCGCGGGCAACCGGCTCGGCGGCGTCTACGGGATCCTGAACGGCACCTGCAACTACATCATGACGGCGATGCACGAGTCCGTGCGGGCCGGCCAGGCGCGGGAATTCGAGTCCGTGCTCCATGAGGCGCAGGAGCTGGGTTATGCGGAGGCCGATCCCTCGACCGACATCGACGGGATCGACGCCGCCCACAAGCTCGCGATCCTCGCCAGCGTCGTGTTCGGATGCCCGGTCGATTTCGATGCCGTGCATGTCGAGGGCATTCGTCACGTCAGCGCGCTGGACATCGGCTTCGCCATCGAGCTCGGCTACCGTGTCAAGCTCTTGGGCATTGCCCGCGCCGGTGAGGACGGCATCACCCAGCGCGTGCATCCCTGCATGATCCGCGAGGCGGCGCCCATCGCCCGCGTCGATGGCGTCTTCAACGCCGTGGTGGCGGAAGGCGATCGGATCGGGAGCGCGCTCTTCGAGGGACCCGGCGCCGGCGCCGGCCCGACCGCATCGGCCGTGGTCGCCGACCTCGTCGATATCGCCCGCGGCCAGATCATGCCGGCCTTTCCCGCTGCCTTTGAGGGCGCGCAGCGGGCGGCGGCGAGACCCATGGACCACCATGTCGGCGCCTATTACATTCGCCTGATGGTGGTGGACCGGCCGGGCGTCATTGCCGGCATCGCCGCCTGCCTGCGGGACGAGCAGGTCTCCGTCGAAGCCATGCTGCAGCGCGGGCGGAACCCCGGCGAGCTGGTCCCGGTGGTACTCACCACGCACGAGTCGGATGAGGCAGCCGTGGTGCGCGCGCTTCGAAGCGATCGACCGTCTCGACACGGTGCTGGAGCCGCCGCGCATGATCCGGATCGAAGCGTTCTAGGAGGAACGCATGGCTGCAGAGGAGATCATCTCCCTCGACCGGAACCTGGCGCTGGATGCGGTGCGCGTGACCGAGGCCGCGGCCCGCGCCGCAGCCCGGCTGATCGGCCGGGGCGACGAGATGGCCGCCGACCAGGCCGCCGTCGACGCCATGCGGCGCGGCCTCAATGCGCTCGACATCGCCGGCACGGTGGTGATCGGGGAGGGCGAGCGGGACGAGGCGCCGATGCTCTACATCGGCGAGACCGTCGGCACCGGCAAGGGGCCGAGCCTCGATGTCGCGCTCGACCCGCTAGAAGGCACCACCATCTGCGCAACCGGCGGCCCCAACGCGCTCGCTGTGCTCGCCATGGCGGAGAAAGGCGGCTTCCTCGCCGCGCCCGACACCTACATGGACAAGATCGCCGTCGGCGACGGGCTGCCGGACGAGCTGGTCGATCTCGACGACCCGCCCGCCACGACGCTCGCCAAGCTTGCCAAGGCCAAGGCCTGCGATGTCAACGAGCTCACCGTCCTGATCCTGGACCGGCCCCGGCACGAAGAGCTGATCGCCAAGGTGCGCGAGACCCAGGCCCGCATCCAGCTGATCCGGGATGGCGACGTCGCCGGCGTGATCGCGACCACCCGGCTCAACCGCACCGTCGACATCTACATTGGGATCGGCGGCGCGCCCGAGGGCGTGCTGGCCGCCGCCGCGCTCCGCTGCATCGGCGGCCAGATGATGGGCCGGCTGGTCTTCCGCAACGACGACGAAGAGGCGCGCCCGCAAGATGGGCGTCACCGACTTGGGCCGCAAGTACACCCTGCACGAGCTCGCGGGCGGCAACGTGATGTTCTGCGCGACCGGGGTGACCGACGGCGCCATGCTGCGCGGCGTCTCGCGTCTCCCCAACGGCGCGCGGACCAGCTCGGTGGTCATGCGCTCCCAGACCGGCACCCTGCGCATGATCGAGGCCGAGCACGACTTTGCCCGCGCACCCGCGCGGGTCGGCATGTGATGTGCCTCGGCGTTACGCCCTCGCCCGGCCTGTCGTCGACCGCCTACCCACCTCTCCCTGTCCCTCTCCCCCCTGAAGGGCGGAGAGGGAACCGCACCGCAGACGCACGTCGCTCCCTCTCCGCCCCCGGGGGCGGAGAGGGCCGGGGTGAGGTGGGGGATGATGCGCGCCACGCGCAGAGGCGCATGGGGCGATGAGCGACGGAGCGGCGATGCTCGGCGTCGAGCGATCGCTGCTCGGCAAGCGCTGGCGCGCGCGGCTCGCCGATTCCATGGCTGGGCTGTCCCTCGCCCAATCCATCGAGTTGCCCGAACTGATCGGTCGCGTGCTCGCGGCCCGCGGCATTGCGGCGGAGGAGGCGCCCGAATACCTCGACCCGACGCTCCGCCGCCTTCTGCCCGACCCCCTTCACCTGCGCGACATGGAAAAGGCTATTGCGCGGCTCGCCCGCGCGCTCGAAACGGGCGAGAAAATCGCGATCTTCGGCGACTACGATGTGGACGGCGCGACCTCGGCCGCGCTCCTCAGCCGCTTCCTTGAAGCCGTCGCCGGGCCGCCGACGATCTACATCCCCGACCGCCTGCGCGAGGGCTACGGCCCGAACGGTACAGCCATGCGAATACTCGCGGCGCAGGATGTCCGGGTGGTCGTCACCGTCGACTGCGGGATCAGCGCCTTCGACGCGCTCGCCGAGGCTGCCGACGCAGGCCTCGACGTGATCGTGGTCGACCACCACCTGGGCGAGGCCCGGCTGCCACCTGCCTGCGCCGTGATCGATCCCAACCGGCTGGACGACGACAGTCCGCACCGCCAGCTCGCCGCCGTGGGGGTCGCCTTCCTCCTCGTCGTCGGGCTCAACCGCCATCTGCGCGAGGCAGGCTGGTATCGCGACCGGGCGAGCCCGACCTCCTGCAATGGCTCGACCTCGTGGCGCTCGGCACCGTCTGCGACGTGGTGCCGCTCACCGGCGTCAACCGCGCGTTCGTGCGCCAGGGCCTCACGGTGATGAGGCAGCGCCGCAATCTGGGGCTCAGAGCGCTCGGCGATGTCGCCGGACTGGAGGAGCCGCCGGGGTCTATCACCTGGGCTTCATCCTCGGGCCCCGGGTCAATGCCGGCGGCCGGGTCGGCGAAGCGAGCCTGGGGGCGCGCCTCATGATCACGGCGGACGAGGACGAGGCGGCCAAGATCGCGCGCCACCTGGATGCGCTCAACCGCGAGCGCCAGGCCATCGAGGCGGCGGTGCTGGAGGAGGCCATCGAGCAGCTCGAGTCAGCAGCCAGTGCCGGAGAGCTTTCTTCGGCACCCCTGGTCCTCGCTCACGACGAGCGCTGGCACGCCGGGGTGATCGGCATCGTCGCGAAAGGCCAAAGAAGGGCATACTAAACAACCCCGGCGGTCGTGTCGCTTGGGAGGA